TTTGAATATCTACTAGGGCCACCCTGTTTTCTTTGGTATATGAAATGAAAGCTATGTTACCGATCGAAATGAAAATTTTCTTGTTAAGAGTCATGATAGAGGTAGAGTTAGAGGAATTAGAATGGGTTTGAAATCATTATGAGCAGTTGAACATCATTAAAGAGAAAGACTTACAGCACTCTGTCATGGTCAATTATATTAAAAGAGGATGATGAGAGCACATGATAAGAAAATCTACCTTTATCATTTTAAGGAAGGAGATTTAGTGCTGAAAATAATCCTTTCAAATCAACATGACGATAGAGAAAAATGGACACCAAATTGGGAGGGTTCGTACATGGTGAAAAAAGCCTTTTTATGTGAGGCATTAATTTTAGCGAAAATGGATGGAAATGATTTACCTATTCCAATAAATTCAGATACTGTGAAAAATATTTTACTTAAAAAAAAGAAAAAAAAGCCAAAAAATAAAAAATAATGATTTATCTAAGTTAAAAACTTGAAAATGCGGCTTGGACGTACTTACAATACATGGGGTAAAAGTAGTTTGACGAACTCTGAAGAATTGAGAAAGTCATCTAATTTAGTTTTAGAAAAAGAATCTGAGAATATTTTGTTCATGATTATCTTGTGATCGTTACTTGGACACCTTTGTTTCGATTCAAACACTTTTGTTGTCATACACTTATTATTAGTTTAATGAAATATGTTAGCTTTCTTTTGGAAATAATGCCTATCCATTTTTTTACCTCATTTGATATCTTTGTTCACCTTATAAACGAATGAGAGAAATGTGCACTTTTGTTGTCATACACTTATTATCAGTTTAATGAAATATGTTAGCTTTCTTTTGGAAATAATGCCTATCCATTTTTTTACCTCATTTGGTATCTTTGTTCACCTTATAAATGAATGAGAGAAATGTGCGATTGCATTTTATTTGTCTTGACCTTAAAATGACGAAAAAATAAACACAAAAGATCTCAGCATTACTTTTTTTAAAGTTGACAAAGGCAGATGAAAAGAACTAGAAAAACATGACAAGAAATTAATGATTTTTAAAAAAAATATTATTGAAAAAGAATACAACAGTCAAATGTTAAAAACAGATTGGTCATACTCATATGGTGAAAAAAGCAAGAAGGTGAGAAATTTCAAAAATCTTTTTACTACAACAAATAATTTTGATTACATAATATGGATTGCATCTAGAGCACTCAATGCACGCATCCATGAACATTTATAACAAAGACAAGGTTTTTTTCATTCCTTAATAGAAAAATAGAATTTTGGCCTTCAGATTAGGATAATGATCAAAGAAAACACTCCAGAAAAAAAAGAGAGACATTTGCTTTTTTAAATATGCATCTTAGTTTCAATGAAAGAGACTTTTTTTTTAAAATTATTGAGCATCTACTGAGAGAAACCTTTTTCAGATTTTAAATTTTAAAGTTATTGAGCCTCTGCTGAGATGAGCTTTTTCAATATAAAACTTTTAAAGTTGTTGAGCTTCTGTTGAGAGAAGCAGATAAGCCTTTTTCAGATTTTAAATTTTAAAGTTGTTGAGCCTTTACTGATATGAGCCTTTTTTAAGATGAAAATTTTTAAAATTGTTGAGTCTCTGCTGGAGAAACCTTTTTCAGATTTTAAATTTTAAAGTTATTGAGCCTCTATTGAAAAGAGCCTTTTTCAAGATGATAATTTTTAAAGTTGTTGAGACTCTGTTGAGAGGAGCCTTTATCAATATAAAAATTTCTTTAAAGTTGTTAAGCCTTTGCTTAGAGGAACCTTTTTCAAGATGAAAATTTTTAAAGTTGTTGAGCCTCTGTTGAGAGGAGCCTTTTTTAGATTTTAAATTTTAAAGTTGTTGAACCTCTGCTGAGAGGAGCTTTTTTCAACTGAGAGGAGCTTTTTTCAAGATAGAATTTTAAAGTTGTTAAGCCTCTACTGAGAGGAACTTTTTCAAGATAAAATTTTAAAGTTGTTAAGCTTCTGTTGAGAGGAGCATTTTTCAAGATAAGACTTTTAAAATTGTTAAGCCTCTGCTGAGAGGAGCTTTTTTCAAGATTAAAATTTTTAAAGTTGTTGAGTTTCTGCTAAGAAGAGCTTTTTTCATATTTTAAATTTTCAAAAGTTATCGAACCTCGAGTAAAAAGAGCATTTTGATTTGATGACAAAAGCCCTATGATTAGTTTAAAAAAAAATCTCTTTGGATTTCAAACAAAATTATTGTCCTTATTTTTCCCTTATTCCTGATTCTCAGCAATGTGCAAAGATGGACAACTGTAGATACCAAATTTATCTTGATTTTAATTAATAGTTATTGGACTCTCGGACTAAGACCTGATTTCAATTCAATTGGGCTTCAGAACCAATTTCAATTCAATCGAGCCTAAAGTTTGATTTTGATTGAGCCCGAAGCTCATTTTATTTTTTAGGCCCAGCCTGCCTTTTATTTTATTTTATTTATTTTATATTTTGTTAAATTAAACAAAATAAAAAAATAAAAAATGAAAAGAAACAAACAAACAAAAGAATACAAGATAAGGAAATAACAAAGGAGAGGGGGCTGGTGCCTGGTGCCGTGCATGGCACCACCTGTCCATGCTAGGCCCTGTGCCATTTGCTTAAGCACATGGCCAAGACGGGACAATACAGAATAATAAGGGGGCAAAGAAGGGGGTTAGTGCTTAAGGTACCGTACACGGCACCCCCCTCTACCAAGCCATGTGCCATTCACCCAGGCACAGGGCATGGCCAGAGCTCTATAAATAGAGCTCATGGCTGAACCAAACAAAGGGAAAAGAAAGAGAACCCTGCATAAAAAATGAAAAAGAAAGCATTATGTCAAGAAAAAAAATTCAAGCAACACAGTCTTCTGAGAATGGGCAACTTAACGCGAAGATCCCCTACAAAAGAGGAAGCAAAGTCAGAAAAAAAAGTCAAAATATATAAAAAAAAAGAGTTTAGCCAAAAGTTAGAAGATAAATCTAGGGGATTTGAAACCTTTTTTTGGTAAAAACAAGGCCAGATTTAGCTTTAAGGAGCAAGGGGAGTGTTTTGAGATTTTTTTAGGATTTTTCGATAGTCGACTACAACTGCCAATGACCAACCATCAATGGTGGCCAAAGGTGATTGATCGATCAGGTAGAGAGAGGGTCTGAGAGAAAGAGAAATTAGAAAGAGAAGGAGAAAAGAAAAAATGTGAGAGAAAATTTTTTTTGGGTTTTATAGAAAGCTAATAGACTAAAACGATACTGTTTCATTAAAGGGTTAAAACAACGTTATTTTGACCTTAAGAGGACTCGTGCATCAACTTGACCTGACCCAAGATCTATGCGCCCAGCTAGCGACCTGCCTCTGTCCTAGACCCAAACCGGTCTAGTTGAACCCGCCCTGACCAAACCAAACCAGCGTTGAACTATCGAACTAACTAAATCAGACCAAGCCGCCAAGCTGACTGAACCTGCATTGACCGGACCGTTGATCGGTCCGATTCAGGTAAAAAAATTTTTTAAAAAATTTTTAAAATTTTTAAAATATTATTTTTATAATATTTATGCGTATTAAAACATTTAAATTTATTAGAATAATTTTTTATGTAGATAAAATTTTTATAATTATGTTAATTTTAAGATAAAACTTTAATAATAATAAAAAATAATGATAAAAAAATAATAAATTTAAAATTTAAAATGAAATTTCTAATAATATAAATTAATAAAAAATGCAAGAAAAGAAAATTTTTATCTAACGAGAGATTCGTAGGTACTTCAAGTAGTGATACTTACGAAATCTCTAGGTGAAAATTTTTTTTAAAATGTTACCAATGTATTGGAGTATTTATTAAAAAGTTTTCAATACAATAAATTTTTTTTCTTGTTAAAAAATTAAATAATAAATAAAAATTAACTAATAAATTAAGAATAAGAAATAAAAAATGAGAAAAAAAAATTTTATCCGATGATGAGATTCTAAAAGTATTTCAAGTAGAGATGCTTTAAGAAATCCCTATGTGAGAAAATATTTTTTAAATATTACCAGTGTATTAGGATATTTATAGAAAATCTTCAATATAATAAAAATTCCTCTTTCCTCTTTTTTTTTTTTTTTGTAAACGAAATAATAATAAAAATCAATAAAATTTTTGAAGAATAAATAAAATGTGTGCATTAACATATTAGCATTTTGCATTGCATGTATAACATAGTTTTTACGAAAAGTAAATTCTAACCTCTGAGGATGAGATTGTATGGTATTTCGAGAAATAATGCCTAAGAAATCTCTAGATAAGAAAGAGTTCTTCTAATGTTACCAATGTACTGGATCATTTTAAGAATTATTCTAATAAAAAGGTTCTGATTTATTTTTCTTGAATAAAAATGAAAAATAATAATAATTAAAAAATAATTTCCAATAAATAAAAAAATCAAGAAAATTATTTTTCAAACACTGAAAATGAGATTATTTTTTATCAAAATAAAAATAATGCGTAGTTAAAGTGTACCGTTTTAAACGGACATTATAGGGGTACTAATCCTTCCTTACGCTAATCAATTCTCAAACTCAAACTGTTTCGCAGACAATAAATTATCTTTTTAATAAATTTTAACTAATTTTAAAATTTTATTAAAAGGATAAATTTTAATAGGTAATCAATTATACCTAATAAAAAAAATTTGATGACAACTTTGTTTTTCGTTCTTTTATTTTCGTTTTCAAATTCGTCAAGTGATCCAAAAACTATTACGACAAGACTTCATTTTTTTTACCCAATAATGTATTTCAATACATGACATCCATCATATTACCATGTTTTTTTTGTCTATTGTTATCTGCTTTTTTTGTTTTTTTTCCTAAATTTTTATTTACATTTTAGTCATTTTCTTACAATAAAAATAAATAAAAAATAAAAAATTAAAGTTAATTAATGGCAAGTTGGATACTTAATTTACTAATAAAAAAAGAAATATACAAAAATAATTTTAAAAAATCCATTTTGAAAATAAAAGATAAACAAAAATACTAAGCGAGAGCTCTGCAAAAAATAACACAAAAAAACCGAACCCAGCAGCTATAGAGCTGTTTGGTCCTCTGACCAAAACCCCAACAGAGAACAATGGAAGAGGAACCCTCAGCGAAATCCCGATCAAGAGGATGCACCGTTAACGAATGCCAAGACATGATTCAAAGAAGTCTCCGGAGTAAAGTTTCAATTTTTTTTCTTTTTTTTTAGTTAAATGTATAGTTTTTATGGATTTCATATGGTTTATTGCATTTTTTTGTCAGAAATATTGGTGGTTATTCATAGGAAACATATGGGAAATGTTCAATTTTGTAGCTGTACTTGCTGGAATGGGGTGTTAGGGTTTATGGTTTTAGGATTTTTTTATAAATTTTTTGGGGCTTTTGGCTAATACCTAGTTCATAACTAATGGTAATTCTTTGGAAGGGTAAATGAAAAATGTCAAATTTTGTTGCTTTTTAGATCGAAGTATTCAGGGTTCAGGGTTTAAGGGTTTCTGGGTTTTAGGGTTCTGTTTTTAATCCAATTCAGTTTCTGAGATTTATCAAGAAGGAAATCAAATAATTCAAGATTTTTATAAATGCTTTTTTTGGCTGGAGTGAATTTGTTAGTTTCCAAGTTGTGTGTAAATTTTCTCCTTCCTTTTTTCCCTGCAATTCATAGAACCAACCAGGGCTATATATGATTGAATGGGCCATTTATTATTATTATTTTTTGTGTGTATATATATTTGGCACAGCTCCAATGGTGAAATTTTTGAAGGAGCAAATGAAGAAAGCTGGGTGTAAGTTAGGGGATAATTTCATCAAGGCAGTTCATTGCGATACGCAGATTGGGGGAGGCTATCTTCGTGGTGAAGGAGTAAGAATCTTTTAGCTTATTTGTCTTTATGTTAGAAATAATGCTTTGAGAATTAGTCCGACTAAGGTAGCTTATTAAACATGGTAATCTGACTGTTAAAGAGTGTGAATTGCTTAAAGCAGTTTATGCAGAATGAGTTTAAGTCATATTGCCTTTCTATCTGTTGACAAGCTGGTAAGAGCTTTGGTTTGCTGGTTAAATCATTTCCAAGGATTGTGAATTTGTTGCAACGGTTTATTATGATTAATGCTTTTTCTTTTTATAATCTTTGTGTATGTGTTAGTAGATAGTGGTGTGTAGCAACCATATCGACATGCAAGACGAGGTCAATCAAGTGGTTATACATGAGCTTATTCATGCATATGATGAATGCCGTGCTGCAAATTTGGACTGGACAAACTGTGCTCATCATGCCTGTAGTGAGGTTTGTGTCAACTGACAACTACCTTAGTTTAACGTTTTGCATTTGGTTCTCCAGGCTTTCTTTGTACATTTGGTAAGTAGAGGACTTAACTTTTTCTACAATTATTGCAGATTCGAGCTGGCCATCTAAGTGGTGATTGCCACTACAAACGGGAATTGCTGCGTGGTTTTATGAAGATAAGGGGCCATGAACAAGTGAGTTCTTTTACCCCTTATTTTGTTTCAGTATAAAACTTTAGATTTAAAATCTGTCTCAAGCGGTATTTTAAATTTAAATAAGTATAAGGGTGGCAGCAAGATGGTAGTCAAGTGACCTTTATCTCTTGAACTTAGTTAATTGTTATTTTATCTTATTTTACTTGTGTAATTCCTTGAAATTATTTTACATTTATCTCTAGGTTGTATATCAGTTGGTTTTATCACCAAGGTTTGATTATCTTGTAAGAGGGTTAGCTTCCTATTAAACCAAACTCTCAAGTAGGAGTTGTGCTACGAAGTTGAATTCAAATAAAACATTCAGGGGGTTGAGTTCCCAAAAAGGAGCTCATCGTCTACTTCTCAATTCCTTGTTTAATACTTCCATTTTATTTTTGTAAAATACCCTGGAAGATGAAGAGGAGTGGCCACCCCTGTTCTTAACAGATTCATGTTGAGAAATACATTGGTGGACCAGCCCTTCACATCTACTTCTTCCCAGTTACCCACCCTTGGTTTCAGCTTGTTATATTGTTGCACTTGTAGAGCTAGAAATTAAAAAAAAAAAAATTGTGATGGTAACAGACCTTATACTGCTAAGGTTTTATTTATATTAAACTCCTTTTCGGTTCCTATTGCGATTTACTTTATGTACTCGCCTCTTCATCATTTACTTTAACCTAGTTATGATCTTTCTAATATAGTTTCTTCTATATTATCTATCGAATCTAAGTAATTTATGTTTTGGTTTTAAAGGACTGTGTGAGGAGAAGAGTTATGAAATCAGTGACTGCTAACCCTTCCTGCTCGGAAACAGCTGCAAGGGATGCCATGGAGGCCGTGTGGGATATCTGTTTCAATGACACAAAGCCCTTTGACAGAGCTCCTTGAAATTCGGTCATAGCAACCCCAACCAATGGTTCTTTACTTGCATGTATTTCAATCTAAAGATAATATTCATTTCTCTAAGAAACATTTTTCCCCTCTTGGAGATGACTGAAAGGAAAGGATTGTACCATTTCTGAATGTTCTACAAATTCTAAACTAATGGTTATTGAGGTCAGATTCAGAGAATAAGAGTTCCTTATTACTTTTCATTGTTAAATGCTAGGCATAACAATAACAGCATTTTCCTTTGATCTTCTTTGCTAATAGTATTACTAATATTTAACATAACAATTTCCCGTTCTTTTTTTATTTTCCCAATCAAGTTTGTTGCAAAATGCTCTATATGTAAAGTTGCAACCCCACTAGGCATTCAGGTTTAATTTAAAATCTCAGTGGCCTGTTTAATGGTACATCTGACCAACCCTGTTGGACTACAATATGTTGAGTCACTGGAAGTGGGGCTGGCATCATCCTCTCAATTGGCAAGCTCAGACATTTCAGTATGGACCCAACACCCAAGTCAAGTTCCTTAATAATTCATCAGGCCATGAACCATAATCACTGCTTCTCCCACTTTTGTCTTAGCCTTAACAATGTTTAGTGATTGGATTTTTGTCTATTTTACACTTGGAATTCAAGTTAAATAGGTGACTTTGATTTTTTTCAACCGAAAGAAAATCAATAAACCCCATAAAAGAATTACAAAATTTTAACCTAAAATTCCAAAAATATAGAAAAAATTTTGCAGACTTAAGGTTCCCACATATAGGAAGTAACAGGTAGGTCTGATTTGAGAGAAAAAATAAAGAAAGAAAGGAGTAGATCGCCAGACTCAAGAAAACATAAAGGATAATACTGATTCATAGTTTCTCACGAAAACTCGTCTGTCATCTCCGCCTCCATGCGCTCTCTTTTCCCATTATATTCTTCTTCTTCTCTCTTCTCTAACTTCTCTTCCTCTCCTTATAATTCCTTCATTTCCTCATTGCCACTCCTCTTTTCCTCGTCTCATTTCTCTCCTTTCCTTTCCATGGCTCCTGCCTTTGAACAAGTCCCTGTCCCACAGGAAGGTGAAACTGGAACGGAAACCGCAACGCCCCATAACACTAATACCGGAAACAATGGTGGTAATGATGGTCAAGTTGGGTATAAATCAAGGGTTACTGTTGTTGGTAGTGGTAATTGGGGCAGTGTTGCTGCTAAACTCATTGCTTCTAACACTCTCAAGCTCAACTCTTTTCATGGTATGTGCCCATCATTGTTTTTTCTTGTTCCTTGCAATGACTGAATGGTACTAATTAGAATTTGTATTTACTTTAACTTGTCTTTTGGTTGATTTAAAAGCTGAGGACAAGACAAAGATGTTAAATTGTGAAATTCATAGGGTTGAATGATGAAAAATTTACTAAACTGTGTTTTAAAGTTTTGAGATTGATCATGGTAATTGGAAGTTTAAGGCTTTAGATAATTTGGAGCTATAAAAAACTGAGCTTGGGATTGAATTTGAATTTTTTCTTATGAAAATTCAGATGAAGTGAGGATGTGGGTATTTGAGGAGACATTGCTAAGTGGTGAGAAGCTTACAGATGTCATTAACAGAACTAATGTGAGCACTCGAAGACCTTCATTTGCAATTCGTTTCTGTGCTTGTAAATTTCTCAACTTGTAACTGAACTTGTTTTCTTTCACAGGAGAATGTTAAATATCTCCCAGGTATCAAGCTTGGCAAAAATGTCATTGCGGATCCAGACATCCACAATGCGGGTAGTTAATTTCCTGTTTTCTTTGGATTTCTTATAAATTTTTTGGTTGATTTAGATTTTTGAGTGATTGTATTAGGGGATAGATGTTCACTCTGTTTACGATCATAATGGAAATTGTGCAGTTAAAGACGCAAACATGTTGGTTTTTGTGATCCCCCATCAATTTATGGACGGTATATGTAAGAGCCTTATCGATAAAGTGAGGGGAGATGCGGAGGCTATATCCCTTATTAAAGGAATGGAAGTCAAGATGGAAGGCCCTTGTATGATCTCCACTCTTATTTCCGAGCAGCTTGGCATCAATTGTTCTGTTCTGATGGGGGCAAATATTGCAAATGAGGTAATCAGCTGATTTTACTAGAGAAATTCACATACAACATCATTTTGCCATTTGCTTTCTTAAAAGGTAACTGGTCGAGTCTGCAGATTGCGGTGGAGAAGTTCAGTGAAGCAACAGTTGGGTACAGAGACAATAGAGAGATTGCAGAACAATGGGTTCAATTATTCAGTACCCCTTATTTCATGGTCACTCCTGTGAGTACTATTGATGTGCTTTTTTTTCAAGTTTCAGTTAACATCTAATTTATTGACTGTTTTACAGTTAAAACTAGTCTAGTAAATAATTGCAAGTCTAAGCAATCGGAAAAAGTGCCATGACGAATCATTGGATAGGAAGAAAGCAGAAATGAACAAACTGTAAGGCATCTTTAAGAAACGTTTCTGCTTTTGTTTTTCTTGAGCGAACAGGTCCAGGATGTGGAAGGGGTTGAACTATGTGGCACTTTGAAGAATGTTGTGGCCTTAGCAGCTGGTATGTTGTGCAGTAACATCTTGTTTTCACCCTTCTACATAGCTTGTGAACTAACAGCGATCCTACTTCCTAATGTTACAGGTTTTGTGGATGGACTTGACATGGGAAACAACACAAAGGTTCGCACATAAGATTTTTTACCATAGATCTTACCTGTTTGGGCTGTATCTTTTCTCACTGTTATGCATGTTATCAGGCTGCAATAATGAGAATTGGTCTGAGAGAGATGAGAGCTTTCTCCAAGCTGTTATTTTCATCTGTTAGGGATAGTACCTTCTTTGAAAGCTGTGGAGTTGCTGATGTCATCACAACATGCTGTAAGAAAGCAGATATTTTCACACCTTCTATTTGAGAAAATTAATCTACTTTGATACTAAAAGGATTAATGTCATATTTGACCCATGTACTTTAGGAAAATTTCCAATATGGTAACTTTACTTTTAAAATGTGTAATTTGGTATCTATATGATAATTTCGTTTGTCAATATAGTACTTGAGGTTAAGACAGTTAACTTAGGACAATAACTGGCTGTCGTCCAATCATGTGATGGCATGTGTCATGTTTTGTCATGTCAACTTGCCACGTGGTACACGTGTGGATGCCACATGCCACATGGCATGATGACATGACAGAAACATGCAACACGCCATCATGTGATTGGATGATAGCCATGTCATTGTCCTAAGTTAATGGTGTTAGCCCTAGGTACTGAATTGTCACACTGAAGGATAATACATGTACCACATTACACAGTTTAGAGAGTAGAGGTACCGCATCCAAATTTTCTTAAACTATATGGGCCAAATATGACATTAACTGATACCAAAACTATGTTCTTTTTGAAAGTGGGGGGAAGAAACAGAAAAGTTGCTGAGGCATTTGCTAAGAATGGAGGAAAAAGGTTAGCCTTAAACTTCTGGTGCACAAGCTCTGTAGCAGGATATAAAGCAAATTGTGACCATACCGTTTGTCATCTACAGATCATTTGATGAACTAGAGGCTGAGATGTTGCAGGGCCAGAAATTACAGGTAGATATTAAACAAGGAAAGTATGGTCCTAAAAATATGGAAAAAGAAATTCTGAGTAAATCTAAAACACAAACATATTTGGACAAGATCTTAAAATTTGTCCTAAACTGGAAGACACTAATAGACTTCCTGTTTTTCTAGATTGGAAAAAGGAGTTTCTGTGAGCAATTTCAAATTGATTATGTTTGTAAATGAAGCCTTGGTAAAAGAAAAAAAAGAAAGGTTTGACATCTCAGTAGAATAAGAGTTCTTATCCTTATGCTGAAGAATAAGAGTCCATCTCTACCCTATGAATTCAACAGATACAAAATGCTGAAGTTCTCTAGCAGCAGTAAAATATGCTTTTGAGTATAATATGTTTGTTGATTCCGAATTAATATCTTATCTGATATTCTTCTCTTATGTTTAGGGTGTATCCACGGCAAGAGAGGTCTATGAAGTTTTAAGCCACCGCGGATGGCTAGAGTTGTTTCCTCTATTTGCAACAGTGCACGAGATCTGTATTGGTCGTCTTCCACCATCAGCCATAGTTGAATATAGCGAGAAGAAACCAAGATTATCTCTGTTAGAGGATTCTACCCGTTGCCATTGACTTAACCATGGATAACACTAAAATATCTTGCATTTCAGTTCACAGAAGTACCTTTCTTCATTTGCTCATCATTCAGAAAGTATAAAAGAGAAACAAAAAAATTGGACAGGTAATTCAAGCAAAATGTAGTGCCAATGACAACAAAATTGGTTGGAGGGTTGATATTCAACATGGTAGGAAGTTTCTGAGTCACCTCTAGAAGTCTTTTTGACACTTCTTTAATGAGGTTCCAAAGTCTGGTTTCAACTGGTTGTTCTCTTAAGATGGATAATAATCAGCGACAGTTTGACATGCCTCGATGAAATGCACCGTATGAAAAAAGTTGAATAACCCTTTCGCTCATGAAAATGTCTCTAACCTTCATGCTCAAATTTGGTTTGGTTTATGTTACAGCCCGCACCGATGCAACCTGGAATGCATCCAAATGGGAAACCATTTGTTCTGCTTAAAACATAAATCCTGTGAATGACATGCAGGAACTCATTGCAGCTTTTTATTTATTCTTTCTCTTCTTGGTAGGAAAGGAACATAGGATTAATCTTTTTTTCTTCATATCTTGATAAACTTTTACAGAGATTTTTCTCAAGGAGCTTGCATAAAACAGGGTCACGGTTGAAGATTACAAAATGGGTTAAACCTTTAAGTTTGATACTTAAGGAAATAAAATTGTTAGTTTGAAATTCTAGTTTTTATTCGAATTAATATAGTTAATTAATTTACTGACATAATAGGAATATTTAATAAAATATTGATAAGTGTTAAGAAGTTTAGTCGATTGCATTGTCAATCGTCATGTTCTCCTTAAAAGAATTTTAATTTTTTTTTTAAATTTGAAATATTTTTAAAAAGTATAAATAATTAAAAAATAAAATATTTTTAAAAAATAAAAAATTGTTAAATTATAAAAATTCAAAAATTAAAAAAATCTTAAAATTTTAATAAAAATTAAAAAAAAAAGAAATTTTTAATAAAGATGAAATTTTCTTAAAATGTAAAAAAATCACAAAAACTTAACAAAACTAAAAATTAAAAAATCTAAATTTTTTGAAAATTTTTTGAAACTTTAAAAAATTAAATTTTTTTGAAAAAATCTTGAAATTTTAAAAATTTCAAAAAAATCTAAAACATTCTAAAAAATTATAAAAAAATTAAAAATATTCTAAAAATAAAAACTTAAAATTTTAATAAAAAATTTTAAAAATATCTGAAAAATTCAAAAATATATATAAATTAAAATTGTAAGATTCAAAAAATAAAAATTTTTATAATTTTTTGTCATTTTTACATTTTTAAAAATTTTGATTTTTTTCAAAAAAAATAAATTTTTTTATTTTCAAAATTTTAAAGTTTTTGCATTTTTTAATTTTAAGAAAAAAATTTTTTTATTAAAAGTTTTTAAAATTTTCATATTTTTTTGGATTTTTATTAAAAACTGAGATCTTTTAAATTTTTAACGTTTTCATAATTTTTTCAAAATTTTTAAATATTTATTTTTTTATTTTTAAAATATATTTTAAAATTTTTAAAAATTTCTTTTAATACTAAAATGACAATTGATTATTTTATACTGACTAAATTTTTTTTAATTCGTATAAATATCTTATTTAATATTCATATCAAATTAATAAATTGACTAATAAGATTAATATCATATACTAAAATAAATGATAAATTTTAATTTTAGATATCAAACTGATAATTTTATTTCTTTATATACTAAACTGATAAAAATTATAACAAATAGATCATTTTTATATTTAACTTCGCAAAATCTATTGATTTAACTAGTTTGGTTATGCAGAAAAACACGCGTGGAGGCAGCTACCGTCCTCAAAGCATTCCATGCCCCTGGTCTGTCTATTTGTGAACTAATTGACAGGTGCTTGGTACTTTTGTCTTCACGAGCAGGCAGGAGTCTCTTTTAACTTTGTCTACCTGCAGCAGACAAATGGAAGTTTTACCATTTAGCCAGGGTGGTCACCAGTCAGGCGTGTATCAGTATTTTCTGCTTCATTCCGTTCTTGCTAGAAGGTACTATCAACCAAAACATGCCAGGAAGGTTCCGCTTAACCTTTTCAGCTTTGCAACAAGCTGCTCTCCAATGGTATTTTCTGCAAATTGAAATGCCCATGACTGAGGAAAACTAGCTTCGGTTTACAAGATGGATTTAACAACAGAAAGGTTTCATGGCACTGTATTATGAAATGATATATGCCAAGCCAACTACACAGCCCAAACACCGTGATAATAAATTAAAAAGAAGCAAAAATTAATTCATCGCAACACCAAACACTTGCATGCATGCAATTTTTTTTTTTACATGAAAGTATTAACCAGTTCGTAATCTATCCAACCGATCAACACTTTTCCGTGCTCTTTCTAACTGGTGATCAATGCTTTTTCGGGACTTCTCATGGCAATCCACACTCCTGCGAGACCTTTCCAATTGATCAAAGGAGACTCTTAATTTATCTAGCTTATCCATATTATTAGACTGAGTTTTCAACTTTTCAGGCCTGTCAGTGCTCTTCCTTGGTTTCTCTCTACGATCGGTACTCTTCCTTGAGACCTCAAACACATCCGTACTTTTTCGAGACTGATCAAATTGGTCTGTGCTTCTCCTGGAACTGTGCTTTTGAGAAGGAGATTTCTCTACGGTTGATATGAACTTCTTGAGATGTCTGATATACTCAGGATAGTGCTCTAGATCACAGTGGTTCCCTCCTTTAAGCCACAGTGGTTCGTACTTCTCTTTGCACAGCTCCCAAAGCTGCTTACCATGAGAGCAATCCACAACTTCATCTGAAGTTCCCTACACAATGACATAAAGCGACTTGTCTCAAAAGCTATAATTGGTGGTACAGGAAGTCAATTTCACCTTCTAGACAGTTATCATTTACTGATCAATAAATGAAGACAGATAAAGGAAACCTTATAATATTTACACACCAAAGAAATTCAAGGAAAAACTAGATAGTTTTCAATATCAGATTTCCCTTCAACTCTTTCTATTTGATCTCTTTCCATGCCCATCCCTCAAAATTTTGTTAAAAGGCATAGTCAAATCTTTTTATGCACTATGAAAGCAGAACTATATCGACAAAATCAACAAATTGACAACAGAAAAATGAAAATTTTGGTCATAAATCCCAACTCATGCATTACATTGAATATATGAATGAGGATAACCAAACTTAGCTTTAATTAAACAAAACCTATAGTGTACAGAAGATTTACTTCTGACTAAGCAAAAGGAGCCAAGAAAACTAACTTGCAGCTACTGCAGATATCCACTACCTAATGGAATTATCATGATACTATAATTTAAAAATAAAAATAAAAAAAGCCAAACCATATTTGGCAGAGACATACAGAAAAATTCAGCAATGTCAACATACAACATGATTTTCAAAACCAAAAATCAAGTATAGTATCAGGGTTAGCCATCAAAGGGGTCCATATAGGTCATATCTTTTCACTTCAAACCAGACTTCAAAATACTGCTCAACAATCCTCCCTACATATGGATAATCATTATCTGCTCTAACAGTTGCCAATTTGATTTTAGTCCTCATAAGAGCTAAGTAAATTAGAAGAGATTATTATCTTTCTTCTTTCTAGGTTTCAAACCAAAAGCCGCCAGGCTTTCATTTTTTCCGATAGGTGTTTGTTGACTGTATGAAAAATAAACTAATACTTAAATATTAGTAATCATAGAAAAACAACGGTTCAATCATGCTCCTCTAGCAAAAATACTTCCATCTCACTTGAGAAGACGAAAAGGTGTTTTAGATGCTAGAATTCTTAATTATACGGCTCCAATTAATTTACTTTGCCTGGATTGCCAATCCTCCAAAACTATCAATTATTTACCCACTGTCATGACAGCTATCTTTTTGTTTCTACTTGAGACACTTGCATGGGCCAAAGTCCAATGCAGATCTAGATTTGTCAGACTTGATTGAAAGAATTGGACCTTCAAAAGAAACTCCTAAGCAAGAAACATCAATGGTAAAATAGATGATAAGGTATGATAGCATGTGAATTAACATTGAAGGAAAACCTGGAAAATTCAGTGATACCCTCATATTTCTGTTTAGACTTGCTGGTTAAAAGCTCTGATTGTTGTCCAATCAAAGCGGTTTTGGGAAACCTTCGGTAAGAACAGACAAATCATTACAAAAGATCAAAAGAAAATGTAGGAAACTGGAAAAGTAAAAAGCAGAAAATTCAAACTTCAGAGTATATCATATGACAAAGAAAGAAATTAAGCAGTGCATAAGTATCTCATCTCGCAATATTGGTGTTTTCACTTTCAACCTAAACCGAGTTCAGAGGTAAATTTTAGACTTGAGAAAAAAAAGAAATAAAAAACAAAGACGGTTCATTAAATTCCATCATCATTGTAAAGAATTCAATGGAAAAGATAAGAATCATATAATATGATGTAATGGCTCAAATATCTACTACCTAAGGGGATATGTGCAGGTGGTAGATTATGAAATTTATAACACATGAAATAATCAAGGAGAGTGTTAGGGTTATAGATGCTTACATGAATGATAAGAACAGGACAATTGACAAGTGGAATTTTATCGATATTCTGCACACAAACAACCCAAAAAAGAACACATTATATTTGCAATATTCACATAAACAAATCCAATAGGAGGAATAAATTGGACAAGCAAACAAAGAAAGCTTTCTGTTACCTTATAAATGTCAAACCAAAATGTGCGCTTTACAGGATACATGACCCTCAAGCCAGAAAGTATGGGACTGTGCAGAACAACAGCTCTTAACTGAGGCAGCCGAGCTGCTAGATCCAAAGTAGGGCCACTACCAACAGATTGGCCATACAGGATGATATCTTCCTGTTTTGTACCATACCTCTCTTCAAGACATTTATATGCAGCTTCAATATCTGCATATGTATTCTGCTCACTTGGCTGTAAAAAAGGAAAGATATGGGCTTTAGACCATCCTATCAGCTCCACAAGTACAGCCATATCTTTTACAGAAAGATCATTTTTTTCCTTTCCTTTTAAAACAATATCAAGTTTGCTATATACCTTTCCAGAAGATTGCCCATACCCAGAATAGTCATAACTGCACAATATCATAGAAAATCTATAAGAAAACTGTAAACTTTAATTTCTTAATGAGTTGCTATACTAAATTTTCTTCAATGGACAAAAAATGGATAAAGGTCTTTTCAAGACAGCAATCCTAATTCCTATAGGAATGAACAAAGAAACCCATCATTCTCTCTTTGGCACTGCAAGAACTACCAGCATTAGGCAATAGAATCTGCTATTGCCAAAATAAAAACATGAAAATGTTAATTGCTAGCTGGTGCTCCAGTCACAAAACAATTTATCAGGTTAAACCAGCAAACTAACCACAATAACTATCAAGTATCGATTAGAACAAGACTAACAGCTAAATAAGCCATAATCCGCAGAATTATCACCTAAACTTGGTAAAAGCAAATCAATATTTTCCCACACTCAACACCATAAACTGATTTGCACGTTCACTGTCTAGCAACATCATCTTCCAGAAGCACGTCACTCAATTCCTTTCCAATTAAATCAGACTGTTGAAAGGGTCCAATAAAACTTGCATAACACCAAGCACATCTCTATTTCCAGCTAATTATACCCATTCAAGCTCCGTTCACATAGAAATCTCCCTTTCTTGTTTATGCAATCAACTCAAAAACTAAATATAACTAAACAAACACAAAAACCAAAAACCCAGATGTTAAGAACCAACAAAAACATCAAGGAAACAACAAAAGGCATCACAATTCCGAAAACCCAGATGCCAAAACCCACAAATACACCCAACTAACAAAAAAGAAAAGTTGCAAACTTTTTACACAAAAAGAATCAGCAAAAACAGCAGCTGAAACCAGAGTATACCCCATTAGATTGACCCTTAAGTGGATGCTTAACTCGATGAAAAGCTCATACATCTGACCCAGATCGGCAGCGTTACCATGAGAGTAAAGCAAAGTTGAAGTAGCCATAGGATGCCTGATGTAAATAGCTATAATCTCCGTGCCACGCCGAGTTGGAAGCTTAAGAACCTCAACGTTTTCTCTATGAGGAAAAGGACTTAGAAGCGAAAGACCAGTTAGGTCATCAATTACAAGCTTGTATGAAGGTGGGTTTGGTGGGAAAAAAGCAAACTTTGCCGCCATTGAAGACGTTACTCCTCCCATCTCTCCTTTCTTTCTCTGTTCTTTTGCTCTGTTATCCTCTGTTTTTGCTCTGCTTTCAGTTTTTTTTTTTTTTGCTTTTGGTTAGGAGGAGTTGGAATTGAAGCAGATAGACATTTCTTTCATTTTTTATTTTGTTTTTGCTTTTATATATTCTTTCTCTCAAAAGATTAAAGCTTATTTTCCACAGAGAAAGAAAGGATTTTGTTGTTTGTAGTTGCTATTGCCTACTAAGAAATAGAATGCGAAGAACTGGATGCTTTTGCTTCGTTGCGTCGTAAAAATTAGAACCTTTTTATTTTTGTGTATAAATTTTATACCCGATAATTTTGTCATGTCAATAGGGTAATAATTTCGATGCAAATATAATATAAATATTTAAATAATGTAAATCATTTAATGAATATAATATATTTATTATATATATATATTATATGTGATATAATATAATTAACATATTTAAAATTAATTTATTCAATATAATTCAAATAATAATATATAATATGATACGATTAATATAATTAAACATAAATAATTATATATAATAATATGTTGGGAGCATATTTGTAATTTGATCTAATTTAATATTATAATATTAATTTTTATATCTAAATTGATCTAATTTATATTTGTTTAAATTCGTAATTAATTAGATTTGAAATTAATAAAATATTAATTTTTAATATAAAATATTATTTTTAAATATAAATATAAAATTAAATAAATAATAAAAAATAATATATATTGGATTGAGTCAAAATGAAACAGATTTACATAAAATTTAACTTTAATTTTTTTTTCACCACCTGATATGAGTTGAATTATTGATCTTATAAATAATATGATTAGATGTGATTAATTTATTTATTTAAATAAAAAAACATTTAAATTAGATTTTAAACAAAAAATAGATTAAAAATTAAATATTTTTAATCTATTTAAATAGTGAAATGATAAAATAAATATGATTATTAATTTATTTAAAAAATAAATTTAAATAATTTTTATATTTTATATGTTTGCATGAAAATTATCATATTTTAAGCATATTATTATTATTTGATACAAACATAACATGAATAATATTATGTTTTAATCATGATACAATTAAAATATAAAATACAATTATACTAAATTTATATTTTTTTCTCATATTATTTTTATATTTTATTACCGTATTTTATTTTCATATTATCTTTAAAATTATCACTAATAATTTCTTAGTAGGGTCAAGGGCTAAGGGAAATGCACAGGAAAATTTGATGGCAAAAAATGGCAAAAGAGAAAGGGTCACCTGTAATACGTCAAACAACCCCACGAATTGGCATGTGGATAAAGTTGATTCATTGAACCATTTAGAACTTCGATTATAAACCAAATCATGTACATAAACATGTTTGGATGGATTCGGAAAAAATATATATATATTCGACAAATTTAAACAATTTTCACTGTTAAAAAAATTTTATGCTTTGCTACTATTATTTCCCTTTGAATTATGGCCATCGAATGGTTCATTATGGATTTAAGCGTTTGGTTTTGGGTGGTTAATGAGGAATTAAATAACTTCCCAACAACTAATGACCAGCTACAAGCTTAGAAACCTAGAAAAATCTTTCCATACTTTAGCTGTCCTTTGGCGTTCATCACAAAGATTCCTTACATTTCTTGAATTTGGAACACTTTTACCAGCATGCCTCGAGCATTATACATAAATACTATGGAATCCCATATCATTGGAAAGTCCTAATAGCTGGTGACACCCAAAAGAAAGAAAATCCCAAGCTCAAAGGAGAAAAGCTTTGAGCTGTAAGGATTTTTGGACAAGACAATGTCTAATTTTCCTTCCAACTTCACAGGTTGAACCTCAATGGAAATCAAAGTGAGAGTGATGTAAGTGAACAAATGGGAATGGGACCAATCTCTTAGAACTTCTAAACCTAATAACCAACATGCAACAGTTACAAAATCTGCTAGATTCATTGTTAAAGTAATAGTTCTTGGTCCAAAATGGACAGTAATTTAAATGTTCAAGGTGGGGTAGCAGAACATGGTTTAGCCACATTTAAGCAACCAAAAGTGCAGAAAGGTCTATATCTTTTCAACCCACTAATGCTTAGATAACTGGCCAGCTGACAATGGAAATCTTATTAGTAAACTTTTCTAATGCAAAGTAGGGAAAATATCACATGGCCTCAAGCTCTTTTTCTGCTTAATGGAGGACACATAATTGCATATTGATACAAAATTACATTTTAACAGATAAGTCTCCAATTTTCTTTTGCGTTGGTTCAATCTCTATGTGTCTTGAAACCAGCACTAAATGCCTAGCATGTGCAAGCCTCAAATAACAACCCTCCAAGGATGGATCAAAAAATTGGCTACCAAGAAAAAAGTAGTGACCTCAACCCTGGAAAAGAATCATGATGTTTAAGAGGAAAAATGACAGGACTTGGGGCTTTTTCAAGCACTTTTTTTGGTATTAAGATTTAGGTATTCCAAGTTTTGTCAGTTTTAATTTCTTCCCTGAGCGATTTAAGTGTTCTTTCAAGCACTTTAACCATGTGTTAATGTACATGGAAAGCTATTAAAAACCAAAATGACGAAAACAAAGCAAGTGATATATGATTTGAACTGACATCATTGTCATAATGAACCAGGTCAGAAATCTTTTCTCTTGATCTGAGATCCCAAGACTGCCCCAGGAGAAAAAAAAAAGGTTCATGAGAAATCTAGCTAGATGATAATTTAGTCAAAACTCAAAACAAATCACATTGGATTTCTGGTCTAGCAATACTACAAGTAGGGTCAATGTAGTGGGACCCTGCCTCTAAAGGACAAGTGCAACATTTAACCACTACCCTCAGGGACCCAATTTTTCAGGACTAAACCTTGGAACCAAGGTCACAAACAAGGCAAGTCCGAATTTTGTGGGTGAGAAAATGACTTAATAACAACTGATATATGATCAAAAGGACAATGAGAGATGAGACTAATGAAAAGAATAAAGGGATGTTTGTGTCATCATGCGGTCCGCAATATTAAGCAAATGAAAAAAGGGTCACCAGGGTCTTGTTCATCTTTAACTCCATCTTCTTGTTGTTGTCTTTAGATTCGAGTTCGAATTCAACTAATTTTTTTGGATGGTTCCCAACTTTACTGTGGTTCTAGTTTCAGAAAACAGGTAGTATTTGTAAATTCATAGACCAGTTGAGAAATGTCTATGAAATGCAAAAGTAAGGTTTACTATTATATTCAGAAACATTGAGCAATCCAATTCCAAGGTGTTATGGTCTAATATCAGGCAGAAGAGCTTAATAATTTGAGGGAAGCAGAAGATAATTTGGTGCTGAGTAGCAGTAAGCAAGTAAGCATTGGAGTGATTTAAATTGGTCAATTATAGGAGATGCTGGCCCCCTATAATAAGAACAGTGGGCCATAAAGAAAAGAAGAAAATCATAAATGCACAAATGCCTACACAAATGTATGGACAGAAAGTCACAAATTCATATCCAAAGTCCTAAAAGAGGTTGAAATGAAACATTTGAATCAGCCCCATTTTCAGTATTCTCTCGATCAGTTGATGATCCTACCACTACTTTTACCAAAGATACCTTCCCTATCCTCTCAACATCCAAGATTCTGATGCATAGAAATTGACCATTGTTAGTTGTTTCCTCGTAGGCTGCAAGGTTTATAATAAATCAATAAAATCATCATGAACAACGCAGCTATTTTTCCATCTAAAACAAGGCTTTGTATAGTGACACTTGATATAATAGACCTGCACTCAACCATTCCTATGCTAAAACTAAACTTTAGCTTTCTGAACTTCATATTATGATGCGTTTCTTATGCTGCTTCTCTGCAGTAGGCAAGAATAATTAAGTTTATTGGCCGGAGACTTGATACACAAGTATTTTTGTATTTTTTGCTACTTAGACGAAGAAAATCATTTCAATTTGAGACTTGCTTAATAGCAGACTTGGCAGAAAACAGAAATAATAATAATAATTTATATATATATGGGCAAAGTTGTTGCCCTCATGCAGGATCGAACTACAGACCTTTAGTTTACAAGACTGACGCTCTACCACTGAGCCATAGGGGCTCTTGGCACCAGTGTCTGATGGGGTAATTTTACATCTTTGAAATTAGGATCTTTTGTTTAGTTGGCTCACTTCATGTGACCTTAAACCAAGAAAAGGTATGATTCTTCAAAGGAAATGGAGAATGAAAAAGCAATGAAAAGGAGTTTCCAAACTATCACACTCAAGTAAAGTCTGCTTTTTATAATATCATATGCTTGACAACAAAGTGGAAATTATATAGGTTGCCAATTTAGGCCACATAGTGGCCATTAGCATTACATGTAAAACACAAACCTTAACAAGCCAAGTGAAAATTTAGAAGAAAATTTTAGATTTTGACTCCCATAGGACATCATTATTTAGTGGCAATAATAGTAGGAAAAACAGTGATGAAGGCCTGATCGTAGCTTAAAACAGTGAGCCTGGAATGCCTTGCTCGTCATGGCAGCAGAGGAAAGTGGCGTATTTCTCCATGATGCGGTGGCACTCAGGGCATCTCATGTTCTCTGGGATCCTTGTGGTAGTCGGGAACTCAAACCGGCAGCAAGGGTGAGCAACGCCATGAAGCTTGTCATGGTACTCCTTGAATGCCAAATCAAAACCTTTTTCAGTCACATTTACCTTCCATTCATCATAGCCACCCAAAGCAGGCAAAACTGTGGTGGAATGGCCATTCACCACTATATTAGACCCTCTGCTAAGCACTGCCCACCCACCTTCTCTGTCATAGCTAAGCAGCTTCTTGATTTGTTGCATCATTGGTTCCTGGTCATCAGCCCTGCCTAACTGAATCTTGGAAAATAACATACTCTCTAACCTGGTCCAGAAGAACCAAACCATGGCCATATCTAGCCAAGCATAGCTAAGCTTCTCCACAGTGATAATTCCTATCACTTTCTTGACTTGCTCCCTTTTGCTGCTTTTCCCCACGTAGACCATCTCTAGAGGAATGCGAGATGCAGATGCAACACTGCGTGCGGCGGCTACAAATCTTCTCACCCACTCAATATCGTCCCCTCCATACAAGAAAATGTATTTACCGTCTTTAATCTGATTAAATTAAACAGAATAATTCAAGTTCAAAATTGAGTATTAGATGTATATATTTGTAGTAAGAGTAAACATTTATGTACTATTATTTCTAACAACTTAATGAAAAAAATTTGTGAAGTTTGAATATATTTATATAAATATATATAGATATAGATATAGAAATAGATAATGTATATACCCAATTCAGGATCATTTGGTCAATGTCATCAACCAGAAGATCAAGCCTCCATGTCTCTTCCCTCCAGAGAGCTTCTTCTCTCAAACTAGTGAAGGGGAATGCAGTGCTTCCCCAAATCCACATCATGTGGATTGCATTAGGGGAAACCACTTTCCCTTGAGGGTCTAGCACCACAAGGATTGGCTTGGTTCTGAAGTGCCAAACTTCCTTGATGAACCTGATCACTGGCTTCTCTATGAGCAAAGGGTCCTGCACTGAATACCATGGCATGGTGCTTCGTAGGGTCTCAAATTTGGTACGTTTTTCATCTGGCAATGGGATGATTGAACGGTCCACAATTGGGATCCATACAACCTCATACTGACTCTCTAGCCTTGTGGAATGGACCCTGGAGTCATTATATATCTGCTCAAGAATTGCAAGCTCATCACTGGAGAATTCCAGGCTTGAAACGAGCAAGAGCACAATTTTCTTTCTCAGCACTTCCAGGCCAACCTGTTCAATATCCCACAACAAAAGTTCGAAATATATCCTACAATAAGTACTGTCTAATATAAATATTGAGGAAGAAACTGTTATAATTTGGTAAGAAAGCCTTACCTGTCTCTTTGTAGCACCTTCAAGAAGGGGCAGTTTATCATCCCTGGCAGAAATCAAGGCCCTTAGAATTTTCATATTGTCAATGTGCATCACGTTCGGGTCAAAGAGATTCAGAAGCATCTGGTAAGTTTCAGCATCTCTCCTTTCCTCTGCAATTAACAATGATCATCCGTGAGTGTTTTCAATCAATTTTTTGGTGTAAGATAATATTTGAGGGGGCCAGTCTCTAACCTATAAATTGGTAGCAAAAATTCATTTGCTGCCTTAGATGTTCATATATGTTTTTGAGTTTGTGAGCCAAAGTGGACAACTCCCAAGACTCCGTGGTTGATATTCCATACCTGAAAGCAATGCAAACTATTAATCCAACTATTTTTAACCTTCCAAACTCATGGCCCTGTATAAATAAGTATTGCATATAAGATGAACAAGCAAAACATACTCATGACCCATGGTCGTAAGGCTGGAAATTTGTGTTGCACAAGCCACCATGCTCCTGATGGTCCAGTAGACAGCAGTTGGGATATGGGTCATGGCAGTGGCCAATGCCGGTGAGTCCTGTGAAATGTACATTGATGGAAGCTCCTTGAACTCAACAACACACCTAGTCACATCAATCATTGTCCGAATCAAATTGTTGAGAGCATCAAACCGGGGTTTCAGAGGAGCTGTGTGCTCCAGGAGTGATGGCAGTTGCCTCAGGATTGCCATTGACTTGGCAAGTTGGTTTGTCGAGTAAATCTGAGCAAGAAGCCAGAATTCTCCATAGTTCAAGGCAAAGGCTGCTAGGGACAGCACTAGCTTAGCATCCCATGTATAGCTTGATAGCAAGTTGAATATAGCAGTTGTTGTTGCGTGTGCATCTGAACCTCCGAAAGCCTTGTATGATAGCTGGCATTTAAAAATATTTGTAACATCTAGATGTTAGTATATATACGAGTAACAAATATGGCATGATTAGAGAATTTTATGTTATAATTTGCAGAACCTCGCATGCAATTCGATCGATGATATATGTAAGAGCTTGAAGCATAGCTATATAATTTGCTTGTTGTACTTTTTCTTCCATTTCAATTTGGGATAGAGCACCCTGCAATAAAAAATTAGGAAGGTGAGTGTTTTGAACCATTTGTTTAACAGGATTAGTGCAACATATGTTATACCTTGACAATGAAATCAACATGCTGGGTGGAGCGATTGAGTATGTCCTCAACCAGATAGAGAAGAGGTCTAACATCAACTTCTCGGCCATCAGGGGCATGGGTTGTCAAAATTTGCTGCATCATTGCTTTGTCATCTGACATGCTTAACATGCCCCCACGGTCACCTCGGATAAGTGCATGACTAGCACTAGGACTCTTCATCAGTGCCTGAGCAGTACTAGGTTTGTTGATGAATGCCTGATTAGCACCAGGAGTACTGATGTGTGGCTGACCAGAAACAGGATCGCTAATGACAGCCTGATCAGAAAGAGGATTGATGATGAGCTGCTGACCAACACCAGGGTTGTTGAGGAGTGCCTGAGCAGCGGCACCAGGATTGCTAATAAGTGCCTGAGCAGCACCAGCAGGATTGTTGATGGATCCGGTCATTGGTGCCTGAAGAGCCCCAGGGGTTGTCTTCTGCTGATCCATTGGAGACTACAGAAAAAACAAAGGCAAGAAAAAAACTTGGGTTTTGGCTGCGGAAAAGGGAGAAGATAGCTTGTGTCTTTGTTGCCATGAGACAAGCCTATTTATAGCCATCGGAAAGGAATAAAGCTTACTTGAATCAACTCCATTGCTTCGTATCCAATTAAATTGTTGGATCGTTAACAAGAAGCCTATCACGATCCTCCTGTCCCACCTCTCACTTTATTACAGTTTTTCTGGGACCTTCTACAGTGTTTAACATGGTTGATTGATTTTAATGTAGTTCAAGACTCTGTCAGGAGCACCATAGGACACACTTGGGTCGTAAAGTCCAGGTTTTTGGGTTTCCTAACCTCCAGGGTGAACTTTTAGAAATATATATAAAAATCAGGCGAGAAACCAAAAAAAAAAAAAAAAAAAAACCAGCACTCACTTGCCAACTATTGGCTAACCTTGTCAAAACATGGTCCAAGGGAGAGAATATACAGTATCACAATCTTCAAATAGCCAAGGCTGTCAAATAAAAATTAAACGAGAAACATTCTGATAAGCCAGTGCTGTGTTTTGCTTCCTTACTTGATTCTGTTTTTTATTTGTGCCATGATTGAGAATTTTTTTTTGTCCAATAACAAAAGAGTGACATGAAAAGAAAAAAAAATGGATTTGATTCTTTGCTTTTTCTAAGGAATAAAATTGTGATATTACAGCCGAGCAAACCTAACATCATTTGTAAGATTTGATTTTGCTTTTAATAATTGTCTGGAAAAGGAATTTTAAGTCATGGTTTCACTTTCATTTCTACTCACAATTCACAACCAAGCAATTGGCTTCATCTTTACGGCTCCAAAGGAGTTCCATTTCTCTTTTTCTCCGGCATTTTTGATTGCCTTGTTACTAATGAACATTGATACTTGAATTGGAAGGTTCAAAATTTAAACAGTTCTGTCGTTTCTTTTGATAGATTCATGCATGCTGAAGCTAAGCTTAAATTGATTATAAAGCGAATGAAATTGGAAGACATAGAAAATTAAGATTCAACTCTTGGTAACTTCTCAGTATTATTTAAAATTGTGAAATTTGGATTTTTACCTTTCCTCCATTGTTGGACAATTACCTCTACAATGTAAATATTTTGTAGTCATTATATCCACATATGCAGGTAAGAAATTTTGATTCTGATGGGGTATATACAAAAGTTAATAAAAATGTTTAATCTAGAAAATTGATAAGATTGTTGAATTAAACTCTCTCATGAAATGCACAAAAGTTTGTCAGTTGAGTCATGCTGAAATGTTTTATTTCACCTACAGAGCTAAATTTGTTTTGTTAAACAAAAAAGAAAAAGAAATTATGCCATGACTAATAAAGGTGAGTAATTGATTGGTTCGATCGATTCGGTTAGAAAAAATCAATAATTAATTTAATCAATTTTCATTCAACAAATAATCAAACTGATCAAAATTTTTAAATAACCGATAATAACCAAATTAATAAAAATCAATTCGATTTAATTGGTTCAGTTAAATAATTAAATTTTTTTATTATTTTTTTTATTATGAATAATTATTTAACTACAAATTCAATTCAATAAATTCAAACATAAGTATCATTCAAATTAAATCACTAAATAATTTAATAATTTCAATAATATTTTATAGAAAAATAAATAAAAATACTCATGTCAATTTTTTTATCTTTACTTATTAAAAAGTTGATTAATTCAATTAATTTTGTTATCAATTTTAAGAATTGAAAATTGATCTAATTAATTGATTTAATCGATTATAATTAAAATCAGATAAACTAAATTGAATAAACTAAATTTATTCAATTTCTATCAATTTAATTAATTTAAATCGACTTTTGCTCACTTCTAATGAACAACCATTAAAGCCTAGCACCAGTGGCTTGAGGCAGAAGGAGGTCCAAGGTTCAAAATCCCCAGCTCAGCTCGGACAGTCAAATAAAATTGCTAACATACACAATGTGATCTTATAATGCATCTCATATGCATATAGGTTTTTAAATGATAACAAGTATATGAATCTCGAAACTCCTTCTATGCTGATCAAATAAACTGCTAATCAAACTTAAAATCATATTGAATTGATAGTAGTATTTTTTGTGTTACGATTCATGCAGTTAGTTATTAATTTGTAAAATTTTTTGATTTTTGATATCTTTCATGTAAATATTAATTTAATCAAATCATTTTCGAAAGAAAATATATCAGGAGCAAGGTTATGATTTGATAATACTGAAATTCTGAACTAAAACAACGACTGGATATTATGAGGCTCACTAATTAAAAGGTGAAGCTTTGAATAGGGGCATTAATAAGACCTTTTTTTATCACAAATTATTCAGATTTGGCTTACAAAAATCCAATTCCGTTTGATTATTCTTAACTTACCTCCAGTTGGAATAATTGGAATTATGAAGCAAAAGCTGATATCAGGGATTTTGATATCTGATTACAATATTTCTCGAGTTTAGTTCAACTTAAATATATATTTTTATTATTTAATTAGTAATTTACTATTTTGCCCTTAGTTAATCTAACCCGCCATTTTATTCTACCAGTTTCACTCCCAATCGTACCAGACCCCGTCGGCGGCTCCCCTTTCCGTCACTCTCCTCCAGTCCTTTTCGACGCAGGCGTAGCAGTCAACCAACCATCCTTCCGACGCCGGTTTACTCTCTCTCTCTCTCTCTCTCTCTCTCTCTCACTTTTCTGTTACGTTTCTGTTATTCTTTCTCTTTTTGATTCATTCAAGATCTTTGATGCTCTGTCTGTCCCTGTTCTGTTCTTATTTATTTGTTAGTAGTATTTTGTTTGTTTGACGATATCTTAATTTGATTATTTTTGTATCGTGTGGTATCCTTATCGTTGTCTTGCATGAGGATTGATAAGCCTTGATAATCTTGAGGCTTAAGGCTTGAGTTGACAATTTTTCTGGACAAATATTGCAAGCATTGACTGCATGCCAAGTAGAATCCTCTTTCTATAACAACAGTATTTTTATTTCCAAGTAATAATTTCTCTTTGCAATTAATAGGTTCATGTAACAATTTTAATTTTTAATTTTTAATTATATTTAAAAATAATATAAAATTGATTTGATATATAAATTATTAAAATAAAATGCATATATTATTTATAAATTAATTAATTTTTATTGGTTATTTTTTTGATTAAAAAATTATAAATAAAGTTATATTTATTGATTTATTGATTTATTAAATTCAAACATATTAATTATAAAAAAGAATTGGATTTACAGCAACGCGTGTGCATTTTGCTTGTTTCAGTAAAAACAAATAGAAGCTAATGAACGTTGGCTACATGTAATTTCTATAAATTTTGGCTTCAAATATGAACAAAGAAAAGATTGAAGAATCAACGTTGACATCCATCTCATGGACTTCTTTAAAAATTTTCAATATTGTAAGTTCTAATATAATAAAACTAGAGTAATTGAAAAAGTAGAATATCAATTGAAAATATAATATTAATACTTTACATATTTGTTAATGTGATCTTGTGTGATTTCATTATTCGAGTTTCATATTTTGTTTAAATTCATCCAGATTAATAAATGATACAGTTAAGTCCCTCTAGATAATTTTTTTTAAAAAATTAAAAACATAATATTTTTATTTAATCTTTAACATTTTTGCTCTTTTCTTTTATCAAGCTTTAAAATGTGAATAATGAATATATTTTGAATATCTATATTATAAATATTATATATTTATCATTTGTATTATGTAAATTGTATAATTAGAAAATAATATATATTTTATAATTCAAATCTTAGTCAAATTGAGTTTAGAGTTTGAATGTGGAAGTGAAAGCTCAAGTTGAGTTTTGGTTTGGGAGAATTTGATTTTTTTTTTTTTTGAAATCTTACTTGATTCATACGTTTGATTCTCAGTTATTTGATTTTTTGGGTAATTTTAAATTCTTAACAATACTCAAAAATCAAAGAATCAAAAATTTATATTTATTTGTGATTTTTTAAGATTTTGAGAGGAAAATTATTTTTTTAACATATTTAACTTAAATAAAAAAATTTTATTCTATTTGGCCCTTTAAAGATCAACGTATGAAAAGAAACTTGTATTACGTATTTTATTTATAAATGTAGTATTTAAAATAAATACCATGTTTAAAATAAGAAACATAATATTTGATTAAATAACAAAGCACTTTCGATAATAAAAACCAAACAAATACTACATTTGCAATTTCAAAATTGTAGTTTTTAATAATACAAAAACTGTGTTTCTTACGTTAGAAACGCTATATTTGTTCAATAAAAAATAATTATTTTTTAAATAATAAATATCATGTTTCATTGGTCAAAACCGTAATATTTATGAATACTAAAGCTGCGTTTTTTACATTAGAAATACAGTATTTGTTTAATAAAAAATTTATTTTTTAAATAACAAATACCACATTTCATTGATAAGAAACACAATATTTGTAAATATAAAAATTCTGTTTTTCACATTAAAAACGTAGTATTTATTCAATAAAAAATTATTTTTTAAATAACAAATATCACGGCTCATTGGTTAGAAATACGGTGTTTGTGAATACAAAGATTATGTTTTTGACACTAGAAATATAGTACTTGTTTAATAAAAAAATTATTTTTAGAGTCTAAGATTTAAGATTTATGATCAAATACAACGTTTTTTAAGTAAAAAACATTGTTAATAAAGCAACTATTGCATTTATAGGATTTGAAACACAATATTTGTTCAATAAAAAAATTACTTTTGGGTTTAGGATCAAATACAACATTTTTAAAGTAGAAAACGTCGTTAATAAAGTAAATATTGTGTTTGTAGGATTTGAAATACAGTATTTGTGGATTATTTTATAAATTTTTTTTATACAAATAAGATATCTTTTATTAACAAAAAGACGTTTTTAGGATTTTAAATGTAGTATTTTTTATTTTTTTTGGTGAAATTTTTTTAATACAATAACGGTATTTTGTATGAACAAAAAGTTATATTTAATCAAGGATCATATTTTTATATTTATAATTTTTTTTTGTGAAATTTTTTTAATACAATGACGATATTTTTCACGAACAAAAAATTGTATTTAATCAAGGATCATATTTTTATATTTATAAACCTAGTATTTGATTAAAAACTGTTTTTTTATTTTTCAAATAATGTTAATATTTAATTATATTTTACATTAATTTTTTTAACAACAAAATCATTGTCTTTGACAATATTTGAATTTATATTATTTTGGTCAAACATTGTTTATATTTAACAAAAATCGTTATATTTGTTATGTAATGAAAAATATTACAGTAAAAATACTTTATTAAGTAATTTAGTTTCTTCTAACCAAGTACAGAAATTTAATAATCTCATGCCATGAAGATTACCTTTTGTCAAGAATCTACATTTTTTTAGGGATCATTTTTCCTTTCAAAATTTAAGATTTACCGAACCAAGCACTTCCAAAATCATTTTCCTTCCAGAAATCTAAGTAATTTAAAATTTTGTTTACACTTTCAAATATTCAAGCTTGAGTTAGGATAAATCTAACTACGGATACAAACGTTAAAATTTTTTATCGATGCTCATGAAATTTACGCTTAGACATAAAAGGCCACAAGCAACATGCACAGTCCATTATCCATGTGATTTGCATATTGGAGGTGTAAACGAAAAAAGCTTTTATAAAGTATTCATGAACATATTCGGTTTATGTTCATTTATTAAGTTTAATAAATTATTTTAAACAATATTTTTATGTTCATTTATTAAATAAATTGAATACAAATAGAGGTCTATTTGAATAATTTATGTTTGTAAATAAACTCGTTTAAAACTCTTTTATTTATTATTTATTTATTGTTCGTTTGCTGTTTGTTTATAATAATATTAATAAAAATACATTTTTATCCTTTATCCTCATCTTATTTTAAGATTTGTTTATGTTTGTTTGGGTTTGTTGATATTCATTTAGGATTTATTTGCGTAAATTTATTTGGTTATGATTTGTTTATTATTCATGAATATATATATATATGTCTATGAATAAACTCGTTTAATGTTCATGAATGAGCTTGTTTAATTTAATTGAGCGAACATGAGTTGAACACAAACAACTTATTATTTAAACGAATAAATATAAACGAATAAAATAATTTTTTTAGCAAATACGAACATAATACGAATACTTCTAAAAATAAGCGAATAAACACAAACATACATTCATTCATTTATGTCTAATTTCTTTATAGCCCTACGTAAAATAAAGTGTGTTCTAATTAAAAGTATTTATGAGTTAGGCTAAGTCATTTTTAAGTTAAGTTGAATTCAGATTGAGTTTATACTTGATATTAATAATTTATACATTTGTTCAAATCTGACTCTATCTAATATTTCGTACCTCAAAATTTTTTCAAACCCTTTCATATTAAAAAAAATAAATTTCAAATTCACTTTTTAAATTTAATTTATATAATAAAAAATAAAAAAACTTTTTCAAAAATACTATTAAATAATTTTTTTAACATTTTACAATATTTCGTATTAAATTTGTTAAACATTATTTTAACTTCTCTTTATAACATTTTAAAAACAACTCTATTCCAGCAACACTTCTCACTTTTGACAGAAGCTACAACGAACCAACCATGCTTCTTTAAAAGCAAGCTTTCAACTTATTATTGTATTTAGGGTTAAAGTTATATATTAGATTAAATTTGCGAATCTGAACTAGTTTATTTTAATTGTTCCTATGTTTTGACCTCCCTTGTAAAATAATAATAATAATAATAATAGTCGTACATTCTATAATAGACTTAATAGAATTGCTTGAACTCGGGCATAATTTGCTGCAATTTAGCTTAATGTGTTTAACGGTGAGCTCAAGCATTTACACAATAAGCGTGAATCTACTGCTAGACAAACTACAATAACTTGAGCAGCATGCAGTAACCATAGGAAGATATGACAAAGCAGGAAACCTCCTTTCCAATACGTCGTCGGATGGCTTTCATGTCATAAATACGTACTTGCTTCTTCCATAAACAAAACCCAAAAGCCCTTGTATTCTTCTCAGCATGAACGCTGCTAAACCTCACCTGGCACAACAATAGTAATGATAAAGTATTTCCAACGAAGTTCGATTGTGATTACATATAGTTGAAACCAGAAGTAGCCTAAGCCGATAACCTATATCAAATATAATAAAAATTGGCCTATGATTCAATTCAACTTTCATATTTCTAAGCATGCATCATATATCCATCCAACCATAAATATATCCATCCATATAGTACGTATATAATTACAACTAATAATTAGCCTTGATCCCCTAGATTTAATGCAATATATCAAATCTCAAAACAAATAACAATATATATAGTTTTTCCTCCTATTGTTGCTCTTGCATCCTTGAATCATGTCTAATTAATTTTACATTCAAACAACTTAAAAAAAAACAGAACAGTTTTGATATCTTTTTTATTTTCCATCTGCCTGAAAGAATAACCTACTTTCGCAAAGACAGCTGCTCTAACTGCCAAAAATACGTCATTAATATGTAAATGGTTAAAAATTAAATTAAGCTAAAGATAGAAAACTTTTAAAAACTTTAAAAAAGGGAGAAGACCTCATTCTTGCCTTCATTTTGGACAACCACTAACTCCAGACACAATTTCATTATCCTCTCCTCCAGATGTTGTATTCCTGCAATGTAAACAAGATTATCACCTTCTTCAACATTGGACTGAAGCATGTTATATGCAGAAAAAGGAGGCTGTCTAAATGTTTAGCCAAAAAGCAAAGAACAAAAATGAAATTTTAGATTTATTTATAGGACTTCTTCAATTGACATTTGAGCATATGGCATCCATTTGGCCATCCTTTAATGTTGGTGAAAATTGTGTAGAAAAAGAAACGGGGTTAAATTAAAAAACAAGAAGGATAATTGCGTATTCTCATGTTATCTCACATTATTCCTCAATTAAAAAAATCCTCTGCTGCATGCACCTAAGCAGGAGCTTATTTGGCTTGAAGGCCACAATCAACCTAAGTTTATTTATTCCATGAATATCTATGAATCTAATTAAACCTAAAGCAAATTTTTACAATCTAGACATGACATAAACATAAAGTAGCTTAGCATAAAAAACACAGAACAAAGCAATAACTCACATAACTAGCGCCGAATGCATGCCCACCCAACCATCAATCAGAAACGATTTAGAAGATTCAATGGCAATATTTAAGATGCCTTCACCATTGAAGCCGATAAGTTTCGACACTTGAAACTTGATCCAGTAAACACAAGTAAAACAAGAGTCTGGATCGTCAGTATAGGGACCACAAACTTTCCTATGCTGCCAAAGGAGGCAGAGTTTTCGACCACCAATATGAAGCAAGATTGGAAAAACCTCACACTCTAACTGAGAATCTACTGGTTGTGATAGCAGCCCCCTTAGCTCTAAGTGTGACCGCCAAAATTGACCCCTGAACCACTTTTTCTTGTCCAGATCATATGCAACAATACCATCTTTACAATCGTACTGATACAAAGTTTTATCAATAGTCACAACTCTACCAAAAAAAGGATAATCTTTTCTATCAAATTTATCCCCATAGGCATACCAAGAGTCCATTGCAATATCATACGCATGCATGTAATCCTGACCATCATGAAAAACCAGTAAAATTTTGGAGTCCTCAAGAAGGGCAGATGTAAAGCATGAATCTAGAGGGGTACTGATGTAAGGGTCAGATGATAAGCCAATCCATTTATTAAGGCAAGGGTCAAACATTTCCAACCATGGTCCACTTGTATCATCCTTATCAAGACCTCCCAGGACATAAATCTTACCTTCCAGTGTATGTATGTGAGGCTGAAACCTAGGTTTGATCATGCTAGGAACTTTATTCCTAACACCACCAGGATCCCTTATATCGAAACAGTGGACTTCTCTAGTGTGAGTTACAAGTTTACTAGACTTATTATTATGGAACCCACCTAAACAGTAGACGGTAGAGCCCAGAGCAGTACAGCTGCTTTCTCGATTTTTCTTGTAACCACTCACTATTGGATGTAGCAAGCTTCTTCCAAATCCATACGGGCCATGAATGATTTGGTAATGATGATCAGCAACAGCTTTGCTATCTTCACCATATGAAAAGCTGAACATGTAAAAGTTAGATATACACTCGGGACCTATTGTCCGGAAGCATATAGATTTCTCCATTGAGGAAAACTGAGAACATCTTTGGAGCATTGGTTTGTTGCTCTTCTTTGACTCAAGTTTTCTTGCCTTCTTCCTTTGCTGCGATCCATAGATTTCTTCCTTGCTTGCCGTCCTCCTTCCCTGTTTTCTCCATCATAGGATCCAAAACAAAACATGAGTACAGAACTGAGAAAAGAAGACAAATTGCTTCATTCTAAACGACCAGAACTAGATTACCATAGGTTGAAAAAGTAATCCATTCACCCCAATTCAAAAATCACTTGAACGTGAAGAGAAAAAAAAAATTCAACCCAAAGTCAAATCCTGCTTTAACATGCTGCTCATTATTTCCATTACATCAGAAAATTATGTAAATTTATTTTTCAATATCGCAATACTTTTTCTTTTTTAATTATTTCAATGAGAACATTAAAAAGTATAAATTTAGTGTCCTTTGGCATGTCTTCTGTTAGGACAAGCTTATGGTATAAGGTTTCTTATAGGATCATAAAGGAAGGGGCAACTTAAAATTAAATGGCCTTTACTTCTACAGTACAGCCTTTTGTTCATAACAAGAGTATTGAACCTAATTCTAATTTAATTTAGGTGGGAAAAAACAGAAGAAGAAAAGATCAGCAATACAATGTAGACTATTAAATTAAGAGGCTGCTCATTTCGTTACTCATTTAAAAAGAAAGGTTAACATATATATACTAAACCAGAGAGTTAAAACAAATACATAAATAACTTCACTTAATTTAACCCTCCGACCACAAACACTCAAAATAAATTCCAAAACACCAACAGTCTACTGATAGAGCACAGAATTAAAATGCCATCATCAGATGCAAATCAACAAAGTTCAAACTCTGTCATAAAATCAATCAAATGAAAGAGAAAAAAAAATAAAGATTAATAACGAGACTTACATGGCGGAAACATAACCCAATTCTAAGAAAGGCCCCTTTAGGAGAAAGGATTTAGAAGACTCAACCGAAATGTTCAGGACGCGTTCCAGTTTTCCCTCCTTGGATGGGCGGATACCTTTGGAAACTTGAAACTTGACACAATAAACACAATAAAAAGTAGAATCATTTACATTAGGGTCAATGAGGGGGTCGGTGTAGGGGCCAACTATTTTGTCATGCTGCCAAACCATACACAACTTTCCACCACCTAAAGCAATTAACCTACATTCGTCGCTCATTGCATACTCAGAACAAATATTATCTCCAGGATGCCTAACTATCCCTCGAAGCTCCAAATCAAGGTACCCAAATTTACCAATGTAAAGCTCTCCTTCATCTAAATCATAACCATACAACTCATCGTCACCAAGCCAATACAAGCATCTATTGACTGCCACACGAGGCCCGCTCATTGCAAAGATTTTTCCTTTTTCCTTGAAATCCTCGTCGAACTTAAACCAAGAATTGGTTTTGACTTTATAGCCATATAAGATTTTGCGACCATCAGCAGCAACAAGAATGGTTTTTTCGTCATCAAGATGTGTAAAGTAATGAGCTCTAACTGTGGAAGAGGGAAGTTCAGGCATGGGACTCCACGTATTTAAGGCAGGGTCGAAAACTTGGCCCCAAGGTTCCTCTTTATCTTCCCCAGAATAAATATTCATGACATAAATCTTATTGTCGACAACAGCTACAGCGGCCGAATGCCCGCCTCTAATCAAGGGAGCAACCTCCCTCCAACCCCCCTCAGGATTACTCGTATCAAAACAATGCACCTTTTTACTTAAATCGAAGCCGCCTATGTGGTAGATATTGAAGCCCAAGGCAGCAAACCTGCCACCCCATCTCCCCTTAGGCATCTGTTGAGGTCCAAAGAGTGAAGGTAGAACACTTCTTCCAAGTCCATATGGCCCATGGAGAATTCGATAGCGATAATCTTCTTCTTCTTCTTCTTCTTCGTCTGAGGAGGAGAAGTTAAACAAGTAAAAGGCGTATGTAGTAGAATTTCTCCTATGGAAGCAGATCATTGATTTCTCAGTTGTAGGGAGATCAATCTCATCACATCGTCGGAGCATTCGCTTGTTGTCCGTCTTCCTTCTCCGAGAAGGTATTTCTCTACTCGTCTTCTTCTTCATTCCTGAAATCTCCTCCATGCTGGCCATTGTTCCTTCCCCTTTACCGCTTCATGGCTACAATGCCTTCATATTTATAAGTGACGGCTGCAATGACCTAGTTCTGTTTGGTATCATAGAACTGGCACAGGATTTTCCTACACCGGTATTAAGACCGTAGGAATACGACCCAGATATAGATTGTGCAATTTGCCCGGGGGCCTTCTATGTCCAAGCCTACATATCATATGGATAAAAATTTCCCGAGATAAAAATATCAAGAAGTTGCTGGTTCATTTTGGTAGACTTGTACAAGTGTCAGATTACCCGTTCAAATTTAATTATTAATTTGATGTTGGGGAGATTCAATAAAATTAAGCTATGAAACGGGTTTAAACAAAATGTATTTAAGGTCTAAGTTTACTTTGATTAAGCTTAAATTATGTAATCAATAAATTTCGTTAATATTCTATTTTGTTCCATTTTTTTATATTTAATGGATTTTAAATTTTATTTCGATAATAAATTACAATATTGTATAATCGGGTTTTAATTTATGAAATTAGATTTTAAATCTAAATTAAAAAAACACAAAAATATTTTTTTAATTTATTTATATATTATCTTTTTTTATTTTTTTTTATGTTTTATTATTTGCTAAAAAATAATATAAATTTTAATTTTTTTAATGATTTGTGATTTTATTTAGATTTGAAATTTAAAAATTAAGTTTGATTTTGATAAATTTTGGAAATTAAGTTTCTATAAAAAATTAAAAAAAAAGGGGATTTCTAAGATTACTTGTGAGAGAAGACAACACATTTATACCTCGATATGTAGAGCTGGCTTATGCTTCCAATAAGTGACCTTTTTTTCCCATTGCTCAAACAGAAAAGGTTGAATCTGATGTTGAGGATTTTTTTGTTCTTCTCAAGCCGGAGACGTTCCTCCAGATGAAGGTAATCTCTTTGGGTTAATAATCTTCTTAATATCAATCCCTTAAAAGTGATAATCTTTAAAAATTTGAGCTATTCTCAAGAACTCTCCTAATCTTTGTACTCCTAGCCATCTAGATGAGCTTCGAAGCACTTTTGATTTGCTTCAAAATATCTGGTTGAGTTTCTTGATTTTTTAGATAGAATAACTATTCATCAGGGTAGGAAGAAGTTACGAATAAATCGAGAGGCCATGTTGATTGAGTTGAAATTTCCCCTTCACCCTCGTATAGTATCTTGACTGAGCTTTTACGGTCGGTCATCCCTAATGCTTCGCACAGCATTGTAGGATTCATTGTTTTGGTTAAGGATTTAGGTCGACCAATCGCACTTAGTCTTTTTAGGATACACTTCTCAAATAAAGGCCTATCTTAATGATAAGAGTTGGTGTTATGTCACAACTTGACCCAATAAAAAAATTGTTTAATAAAATTTTGACCTTAATAGAAATTTGAAAGCTCTTTTATTCTATGGTCATGATGCACCCTAAAGATGGTTGAATGTTTCAAGATGAGTTTCGGTTCAAACAATAAAGAAAAAAAAGAAAGAAGCAACTAGAATCCTCCTAGTTGATAAGTTGACACGCCATAACAAAAAAAAAAAAAAACTAGCTTAATTCGCCACACCATTAGAAAAGAAAAAAAATAAAGAGTAATAATAAATCAGGATAATTCATCATAAAACAAATGTATTATTTTGATAAGAATTAAAGAATAATGCAAGAAGGTAATTTCGATTAATATTCTCAATAAGGATGTGCAACTATTAGATTACTAAGGTATATTTATAATGCTTGCTGTAATAATTTTAAAATCTAAGATATACTCTTGATTAAGAAAAAAGAAAAATCTAAAACATCTCTAATTAATAAAATCTTTTACCTGATTTGGTCAAAAATAAAAATCTCTAAACCTAAAATATTATAATGTCATTTTAATTATTTGACAATTAAATTACATGCATCCAAATTGATTGTAATGCTCCTCTTTCTATAATTAATTAAAATTACTATAATGCTCTCTTGACATAATTATTATAATACCCCTTTTAATAAAATTACTAAATCATAATTACAAAAATACCCTATTACTATAATTACAAAACTACCTCTCATATTATAATTGGTTTAAATTACTATAATACCTTCTAGACATAATTACAAAAAATGATCTTTTGATTGCTTTATATAATACCTCTTTTATCATAATTATGAAAATAACATCATATCATAATTGACCAAAATAACTATAATATCTACTCGACATAATTACAAAAATGTCTTTTTGATTGCTTCAAATTACATATTAAATTTTAACATCCAAACAATAATATGAAATTAATCCCCTAAAAGATAATCATAATGCATTTTTAATTATTTGACAATTGAATTATATGCATCAAAATTAACTGTAACGCCTCTCTTTCAATGATTAATTAAAGTTATTATAACGCCACTCTTATCAAATTTACTAAAATACCTCTCTTATTATTGGTTAAAGTTAATATAATGTCTTTACAATCATAACTATGAAAATACTCTCCTATCATCATTTGCCAAAATTACTATAATGTCTTTCTTATTATCATTTGCCAAAATTATTATAATACCTCTCCTACTATAATTTGTCAAAATTATTATAATACTTTTATATCATAATTTTAAAAATATCTTTTTTAGTGCTTTATTATTACGTATTAAATTTTAATATCCATACAATTATATGAAAGTGATTCCTTTGGAAATGATCATGGTGCCATTTTAATTACTTGACAATTGAATGACATGTATCTAAATCGATTGTAATGACTCTTTTTCGATAATTAATTAAAATTATTATAATGCCCCTCTTAGCATAATTACTAAAATACATCTTTTACCATAGTTGGCTAAAGTCATTATAATGTTTCTACAACCATAACTATAGAAATAGCTTCTTATCATCATTTGCCAAACTTATCATAATGCCCCTTTTAGTATGTATTATTAGGGTGTTCATTCAGTCAGTTCGGTTAATTTCGAATCGAATTATCTAAAATCAAAGTAATAAAATTATTTTATTTTATTTTTATTAACCGAATCAAAATTATTAATTTCCAAAAATAATTGACTTTAGGTTTGGTTAATTTTTTTGATTAACCGAATAATAAATACATTTAAGTTAAATTATATTTTAAACTCTTAATTTCTCATATTTTAAACAAACTAAATAAAATTATCTAACAAAATATTCAAATACTAAAATATTATGTTAACAATTTTAACAATTTATGAAATAAAATAATCCATTTCATATATTTTTTATTTTATATTTAAATTTTGTTATATTTCGATTAAAATTTTAGTTAATTCAATTTTCAAATCAAATAAATCGAAAACTAAAATTTTTCTAAAACCATTTTTATTAACGAATTAAAATTAATTCAATAGCTGATCGATTAATCGAATTAAATTAATTTTGTCAATTAATTCAATTAAAACCGAATTATAAACACATTTTTGTATTATGGAGTTTTGATTTGATTTATAAAAATTTTTTAAAACAATCTCCCTAACTTAAAATAAAAGCCGGTACCTATCCAACTACAATATAATGTCACAATTTGAGCGTCTATTATCTTGTAGCTCCGCTTACTGCAACTTGGATTCTGACTTAAACTAATCAGGAGGTGGGCTTATCTTATAGTGTTCGCTTTGAATCAATCTAACTATCCTCGTGCTCTCTTTTCTAATAATCAATAGTATAGTGCTCGCTTTGAGAAAAAGTCTACCCTTCTGCTATTGCCTTTCCTTCTTCACCGTTTGAAAAGCAGTGGATTGGCGCACGTCTTCCTATGAAATCGATTCTCTTTCTCTATCAAGCCTCTTTCCTTACTCTTCAAAGTATGATTTGGATACTTAAAAGTTAACAGCTTCAAATTCAGAAAAGATAATGTATATACAAAAACAAACAAACAACCACAATTACTTGTCGCTGGGCAATGCAACAAAAAGTTAAGATATCCAAAACACCCTAAAGACCGATGTGCCCAAACCATGTGCTCTTTTTTAGACTATGGAAGCCGTAATTACAGCAACTACTTGATGTGAATATTAACAGCTTCAAGCTTCAAATTCAAAATAGATCATGCATGTACAAAGACAAACAAACAACCACAATTACTTCTCAGTTAACAAATCCAAAACATCCTGAAGACCGATGTGCCCAAACCATGTGCTCTTGTTTAGACTATGGAAGCCTTACAGCAACTACTTGATGCGAATATTGTCCTTTAACCTATTAATTCCAAAGAGAAATTCTTACATAGAAATAAAAATACTGTTGTTATTGAAAGAGGATTCTGCTTGGCATGCAGCCAATTCTGGCAACATTTGTCCAGAAAAATTGTCAACCCAAGCCTTAAGCCTCAAAATTATCAAGGCTTATCAATCCTCATGCAAGACAATAATAAGGATGCCACATGATACAAAAAAATCAAATTAAGATGTCTCACCAACTTAAAAATTATTGAAAAAGGGAAAAAAATACTTTTGGCATACAGCATATTACACAAGCTAGAATTTTGAATAGTATTACAGAGGCTACATGGTTTACAGAACATTGTTGATGATCTTGTAATCAAGGGGCTTAGTGTAAATTGAGGTTTGGGAGATCACATATTTGATCAATTGGTGTTTGTTTGTTTGTTCAGTCCCTAGCATTGTGTTCTTGTAGTAGGATAATTCCTGCTCTTTTCGGACAAATAAGTAATCATACCTATCCAAAAAAAAAGGTATAAATATAAAGGAAAATAATTGAACTTTTCACATTTCATGTATCTAATTACAACTAATAATTAGCCTTGATCCCCTAGATTTAATGCAATATATCAAATCTCAAAGCAAATAACAATATATATAGCTTTTCATCCTATTGTTGCTCTTGCATCCTTGAATCATATCTAATTAATTTTACATTCAAACAACTAGAAAAAAAAAAAAAAGCAGTTTTAATATCCTTTTTATTTTCCATCTACCTAAAAGAATAACCTACTTTCGCAAAGACAGCTACCCTCACTCCCAAAAATACGTCATTTATATGTACATGATTAAAAATTAAATTAAGCTTGTTTAACTACCAAAACTACGTCATTTAACTACCAAAAATACCAATTTGTACAACTTGTTTCAACAAAGATATTT